CTCTACTATTTTTCACGAAAGATAAATTATTCACGAAACAAAAACTTGGGTCACAATCCTTGATAAATTAAAAAGAACAGAAAATTATAAAGACAAGAGAGTTTCAAAGTGTTCCGGTGAGAAAAAGAGTTGACAAACACAATGCTCCTCACCAGTGTGATTGCAGCCAAACTCTTCAAATCCTTCAAGCTTAATTCTTCTTATGAACCTGTCGCCTGACATCTTTATGTTGTACAAGAAAATGTACAATGGTTCATGTTTGCGAGGCAACTTGAGCGGACCAAAAATGATCTCACCCATTTTGTTGACGCCTAAGATTTTTAACTGAATTTTCCCTGATAATTCCAACATCAAAGGGTTGAAAACAATACGTTGGCATGACCACATACCTTTCTCCAAGTCATCTAGAACCACTATATCAAAACGGCGAAGAGGATCATATGACAAGTGATACGCCACGCCTAACTTCCCTTTGAAGTTTATCAGTGATCCGAGAGCTTTGACCGGCAAAGGTGGCCTGATATATCTCATCCTCTCACCTTTAACGTCAAAACGAAACACCAATTTTTTCTTCTCTACTCCTAGAGTCATACCAATGTAATATACCTTCCCATTGATGCATATTCCGTTTGTTACAACCATATAACACGGGGTTCTTCTACCACTGATGTCTCTCCATGAAAGATTTCCTCTTTTTCCAAGTGTTAACACCTTGTGCTCTTGATGACGTTTACCATAAAAGCCCGTACTACACAATGCTTTGTACTCATTACCAACTGGATCATATCCCAAGTACATATATACGCCTTCCTTTCTACCGCTAGAAGCTTCCATATCCGGTAAGGTTATGACTTGTCTAGTGCTAGGGTTACATACCGTGAACCGACGACCTGGATGTGACAAACCGATAAATCCATGGATGGAAGAGCAATGAACAAGGTCCACGAGTAAACCGGACATTTTCATATCAAGATTTGTCTGCAAAGAAGTAGCGTAAACATAATCCACGAGGCAAGGGTGAAGTGACCTCACTTGGAGATTGGTAGCCAAAGGAGTAGTACATGTCTCTGTTTCATTTTGTGAAGAAGATAAGAGGAACACGTGATTCTCAGCAGTACGAACAGCCACTAGAAACCGTGACCGAGTTTGGGACACAGAGTTGAAGGAATCGATGAATCCTTGGTTTCGAATGATGGACGGTTACCATTCGTTGGATACACATTGGAACCTCTTGAGAGAGTTTGCCGGCAATCTAGTCAGAATGTCGAGCGTTAGATCAAGAGGGATATAATGAGCTAAGTTGCCGATATAGCCGGTACAAACACCCTCCTTGTCTTCATTCTCCTAACGTCTCATGTCTTGCTTTTCATAAGGATTACTCGAGTCATTGTATGAACATTCCCTAGCCATTGGTATGCAATTAAAACCAGAATATCCCAACCCAGCAAAATGGCAGACCCACCACTCTACGATAGTAATAAGTAAGCCTGGTTAGGTTATCAAACTGATACTTGATGCTACAAAAGATACAAATAAAGAGGCCTAACAAAAACAAGGTACAAGCAAGGATCTTTGAAATTCTGCAGTAAGAATTTTAGTGATGAAAACGAAATTATAGTCTTGCAAACCTCTAGAAACACTTAAATAGAGGCAAGGACAAACCATTAGACATAACAAAAATTAGATACAATAACGTTCTGCAGTAAGACTTTTAGCGTTGAATAAGAAATTTTGATTCTTACAAACCTAAGAAACACTTAATAAGAGGCAAGGACAAAGAAATTAGAATTTTAAAACATAAACTTTGTCGGGTGAATGGCTTCAGAGAAAAGTATCTACATTGGGTAAGTCAATGGGGAAAATCTTCAAGATGAGACAGAGACATTCGTTTTCCAGAGAAATAATGTGAATTTGCAAATTCACATTCGAGCAAATTGGTAGGTAAAATTCCAACTTTTTGAAGATAAGGATTCAGACCAAAACTCCACAAAAAAAAAAAAAAACGCCTTCAGATCCGACCAGGAAAAGGAGGGGACTGGGTAAATTGATCAATTTACTCGACCAAAAAGAAACTCAGATATGCAGTTTTGTCGAGTAACCAAAACCGAAAGATGCAAACTTTTTTAATTCACGGAACCAGGAAGAAAACCCCAAATCGAGAGAAAGAGAAGGATATTTACCTTAAGAATCCACTTTTCCAAGGAATTTTTTTTTTTTTAGAATCTTATATCCCCTTATATAAAAGTCAATATGGTAAAATTTGG